CACACACACACACACACACACACACACACACACACACACACACACACACACACACACTGGAGCGGCCTGTAAACTAATCACACGGCTCTGATTAACTGCCCTACTCTATTCGAAGGTGCACGAGCGAGACTCGAACACGCTCAAGCGAAAATGGAAGCGCACTTGACACCGCTTGAACTCTGATTCCTTTCAGATAGCTCAGGGAGAAGCAGGACGGCATTTACAAGGGGAAATGAACCATATATCGGACGGCGCAGACCCGCGGGTGACCTGCACGTGATCTCCAAGGCCGCACACAGGGCACCTCATATAAACTGGGCTCCGTGGACATTTCCTCGCTGACTTTATTTACAGCTCGGCACTGTGACAGCTGACAGCACTGGGGCGTTTCCTAACAGGCTGATACCTTCAGGTCCATGACAACAGGAACAGTGGGGATGAACACAAACAGACTGCAGGGCCCCTGCGGCAGGACACTGCTTATGATATCCGGGCCTAAGCGGACTCAGGACAAGGGACAAGGGCTCAGTATCAGCATCAGCATCCCAGGTTTGGAGCTTAAGGTGCCACAAAGAAATTCCTTCAGTCTCTCTCGCCATAAAACACGACTCAATTTCCTCTCTCGGGTCTGGAGTGTCTTCAAGAAACAAAAAAGAATAAGTCTTGTTTCAATCAGTAATTCAGATCTTGTGCTGATTATTTTCCACCTAAAAGGAAGAGAGAGAAATGGGGGGGGGTGATCAGGGAAACCAAGCAGATCTTATTTTCACATCCCTGTTCCTTAAATGCATAAAACCAAGAGCCTTATGCATGTCACATTGTCGCCGCTTCAGAAATCAGTGAGTTAATCTACCGTAAACACCTTCTGACGATTCACCATAATCTGAACACAGATTAACTCTACGGATTGGAGCAATAGACGCAGGTTAATTACAATCATCAACAGTGTGGCTAAATTAAGAAAACACCGTTATTCTGAGACAGCGTGAAAACAGGGATATTTTCACAACGTTGGATAGACTGTAATCCTGCTACTTCTGGACGTTTATATAACAGATGGCCTTCTCTCCTAAAAATGTAACAAAAATTGGTGGTGGGGGCGGGGAATCACAATAAAATAAAGAAAATAATGGCTAACAGCATCTTTGCAATGGAGATCTTCTCTGTGAAATGACTTAACACTGATAAAATGACCACATACCAAAACACCTAAATAAATGTAACCCAAACCACCACTGCAGGACACATGTTGCTTTGACCCTCTGTGACCCTGGGGAGCCCCCCAGCAGTACTTTTTATAGGCTAGAGTTCACATGCAGCTTCCTGAATAACTGCCACACTGCAGATGGCGCAGCTGAGCTAAAAAAGTGACAGATTCCTGCATGAAACTTAATCTGATATAACAAGTAACATATAGGCCCTACTGAATTAATTTGCCAGCTACCACAGAACACGCTTAAGTCCCATTTCGGCTGGCTGAATGGAGAGAATTATGGGAGCCTCCTACGCTGGGGGCTGGACTAGCAACCGCGGGAAGGCATTCCTGTGGCTGGCGATCTGGACGACGGCGAAAGCCACATCCGCAATCATGTCCGTAGGGGGCAGCATCGAGAAGCGAACACCGCCTGCTGGAGGGCGTGGGGACAGCATGACAGCCAGCCAGCTGTCAGCAAACATCACAGCGCCACGTCACTGCAATTGCGACTAGATAAAACGCCACAGCTCACAGAGCACATTTACCACGGTGCCACTACATGCCACGTCTCGCTGATCAGGAGAATCCCATCCTGAGCAAAAGCCGAACAGGACAGCTGATATATTTACCATTTACGCTGCCTGCTCTCACAGGATGAAAACATCTTGTTCCTCATTATTCCAATTTAACTGTAATTACTATTTTATTATCTCAGTGCACAAGCAATATTTCCGCTCTGATTTAAAACAATCCCTAAATTTAAATCACAATCCTTGTAGCAACACATCAAAAACAATACAATAAAAACCACCAAAGCAAAAGCCATTTAAAATAAAGCTAATTTAAGTTAGTGGTGTAAGGTGACAGATGTTGGGGAGGCATTTTAAATAGGGTTAATTTCTTCCCATATATCAGATGTCTCCCGTCAAACATAACGATTGTGGCAGCCGCGGTTACGGTTTCCACACGGAAACACGCTTTGCTGCATGCGCAGACTCGCAATCCCCCGCCCAGGACAGGCCTGCCTTGATGCGGAGGAGGCAGAAGAGGAGGACGAGGAGGAGACTGAAGGAGCAAAGCAGCCGAACTCCCTGGCTGGCGGGAGCCGTCTGCCTGCCTGAGCTCACTACCAGCTCACTATCACGTTACGCTCATCCCTTTCAGACACCACCAACGTCTCATTTTCAGGGTGCAGATGGAAAATACGCACCCAGCAAAGGCACACATTACAGGGCCGAATCTAAGCGTGGGTTGAGGCCGAAGGCAGCTGGGATTAACGGAGACGCCGGCTGGTACTTCAGGAAGGAAAGGGCAGACGGAGGGGTGGATGGAGGGATGAGTGCATGGGGGGATAGATAGAGGGGCGGATGAGAACTCCAGCGAAAAGCAGAGCTTTGCCCTCACAGGCGTTCCAGCTTGTAACAATATAAACATTTAGATGCCTGTAATGGACGCCACATGCGGCTGCAGAGAGGCACACGCTTCCATCACAGCTGAAGCTTACAAGCCAAGTGAAGAGTAAGAGACGGCGCAGACTGGAATGGATGAGGAGAAGAACGTAGGGGACCAGCGAGGGGCCAGTCTCAGTCAGGACGCGCGTGCGTGCGTGTCTTGAGCCTCTGCCCCCATAATGCTTTGCGTTACAGCCTGACATTTCAGCCGCGGCTGGGGACCGGAGGGATCAGGGGCGGGGGGCAGCACAAGCCCAGCACAAGGCCAGCCGCACCCCGGGCAGATGGAGGGGGGCTGGAGTCTGCTTGTTTTCTCCAGCGGATCACCGCAGCTCCTGGGACGAACTGTAAACGTTTCTAAGGCCCTGTGTTAATGGAAAGGTTACGGCACTGCAGCATGGAGACTATTGGGGGATGTCTGTGTTTCTGGAAGTGATTTCAGATCTTTGCCAGGTCTCTGTCTCGGGGGGCCGGATGTGCTGGGACAGCAGGACGCTGCTGGACCATCTAGACCATCCTCACCTGGCGCCAGCATTCAGGGCGAGAGCTGAGTCCTCCTGTACGTCTCGTTGGTGATGGACAGCCGGGTCAGACGGGCACCATAATAGTCCACTATGTAGTTGGAGCCGTCCGAAGGACCCACAATCTATGGAGACGGGAACCAGGGAGACACGTTATCCTGGGCCCAACAAGGGGCTGTGCAGAACAAGAGAGACATGGCTACTTTATTCATCCCTTCTCTCCATGAGACAGACAGACAGAGACAGACACGTGTATATACAGGTAAAACTTAGTTTAGGGGTTAAATAGCATTCAGCCCCCTGAGCACTTGGGATTAAGAAGCTCTCCAGCTACGCGCCTCAAACCGACGACCTCCTGGACGGATGCACAGAGACTAACCCACTAAGCTACACAATGTATCACCGAAACACTTTTAAGCAATCACTCATTATTCTTAAAGGAGCCGGGGGCTGGTTTTGAACCAGACGTCCACGCAGCATTTATTCCACTGAAAACGGCGGGCGGCATGAGTAAGAATATTCATGCACACGACCTGAGGACAGGCGTCACGCTTCTGAATCGGAGCCCGGCCTGCCTCGGCCTTGTCGGCACGGAAACGCTGGGCGCCGTCCAGCCCGGAGATCAGCTTGTATCAACGTAACTGCGAGAAGCTGACACACACCGACAGGGTAATGGCTTCCCGCGAGCGCGCCGTGAACACCTGGCCTCTGCGGAGTGCCTCTGACGGGAGGGGACCCATCTGGTGCACAGTGCCGGGTGGGGGGCGGGCAGGGAAAGGCTGACTGTGATTGAAGCCGACTCTGCGTTAAACAATGTCAAGGTTAGCGATGGCTCGTGTGCGAATAATCCGGGGTAACCAAGATCAGCCTCTTGCCTGCGATCTGCCGTCATTCGTGGTTTAACAATGAGAGGACTGTTTTCACAGAAATGAATACGTTTGTTTCTCAGCAAAAACATACAAGGCGAAGTAACTCAGTCACTGGTATACAGACACACTCGCACGCCATCCCTGGGCTCCTTAGGGGAAGTTCCCCTAAACTCTAATTTTAACGCTATTCATGGTTCTGAAACCCAACAAAGGAAGAGCATCCAGCAGTCGCAGTCTTTGTGGGGACAAATCCTCAGAATATAAATATATAGCAAGTATGGCAAGGACAGCAAAACCTACACACACCCACCCTCATATACATACATATAATTAAATGTACTAGGTGTTTATTCATTACTTCTCAAAGAGGCATTTCCTTGTCGGCGCTGCTCTTAGCCAAGGTTGTTATACTTAAAATATGGCACTTTAGCAAGTAATAGCGTACATAAATGGGCTCTGGGGAAAGCGAGCGTTTTATCAGCGGTGTCACTCTAAGGCGACGGCGGAGGCACCCGGACGGAGTACAGCTAATTGCGAATGTAAGCGTGCGGCGGTGCCCTGCGCCAGAGGCGCTCCTTAAAAGCATTGCTCTCCCAGGGCCCTCAATCCGGCATTAACCGAACAATAAACACCGCCGGCTCCCCGTTAATCAAAGCCGCGGCCGCCGCCCCATAAATCACTTTTTAAATAATAAATAAAAATGATTTCTTATTTATTTTTTTCGGCTGGGAAAAGCTGCCGGTCTCATTTGAAGAAGACAGATTTCTGAAACCTGGTTGGGGTCAGAGGAAATATTATTTTGCAGGGCGGGACAGGGCGGGGCATCTATGAGTTATACGTTTAAACCGCTGCGGCCCAACGGGCCCCCAAACCGGCGTGAGAACCCGCAGGCCGCCGGTGTCTGCGAGATTTATGTCCCCGATCCATTCTGAGATTAGCTTAATTCATTATCTGCAAAAGCGGGGCAGCACGCGGAGAGCCGGCTCATCTACGGCCGACCACATGATCAGAGAAACTTCACACTAAAAGACGGCGCCTTCCGACTGACACGCCGCCTATCCGGCGAGCTGGATCCCTCTTCAGGCCTTTTCTTTCAAAACTAAAAAAAACTAAAGCTAAACTTTACTCCATTTCCACCCCCAAAATGAGCGGCTTGGGCAGGCAAACACCCACAGCTATATTCAGCTCTGTGGATCAAAGTGACATTGACATGAATGTCAAATGGTCAAAATACAGTCATGGGAGCCTCATATAAAACGGACTCACTGATGTTTTTCTGTGTTTGGTGTCTGTTACATCCATCCATTTCCCAACTGCTTTCCCAATACAGGGCCGGAGGGGGTAACTATTGCATTCTTTTCTAAAAACAAACTGTCAAACAAAGTGAAGCCCCTGAGTGAGTCACTTTCGGGGGCAGCTCCCGATGTATCAGGCTGTATCAGGCTGCATGTGGGTAACGCTAAACTGGGACCAGATCGGCATGTTGTTTTCCCTGCAGTTGCACTGGACACATTAAAACATCCTTCAGCCAAATTTAAATCAGTTCAATGTTTCTCCAGACCCACATGCCTCAGTGTAAACTTTGGGATGGGGGCGGGGCAAACAAATGGCCTGGCTTTTCCTTCTGTCAGGCCTCCGAGTCTCAAGGGTGGTTGGGCTGGGGGAACATGCTGCAGTCCCCAGTGGTGCTGGCGGCCTGCCTGCCGGCGAGGAACTCCCCAACACTCAGGTGGCAGTGAGCATCTACAGTAGTGTGCTGTCAGGATGCAGTAAGGATAATGGGGTACAATCAGAGGCGGACATTTCAGGTCCAGAAAGTAAAAATCCAAACCAGGATTTTGTTTCAACCAACCAATTGAGTCTAGAGTCACAGAATACTCAATTGGTTGGTTGAAACAAAATCCTGGTTTGGATTTTTACTTTCTGGACCAGAAATGTCCGCCTCTGGGTACCATTCACATTCCACCTAGCCCAGGCGTCTAGTTATATCAACGGCACAGAGCACTGCCTGTCTCTGCACACAGAAGCACATACTCCTGACCTGCACTCCCTTAAATCAAGCTGGGTCACATCCCATAACTTCACTCTGGCCACATGCTTCCCACAGACCCAGGGTACATAGGGCAGAAAAGCCAGTGAGGTGAGGGCCTCATTTCCTGGGCTGCTCCTACTAGTCCAGTCACTCATCGCTACACACTGCTTTCTTATGCTTAGCGCAGTGTTTCCCAACCCGGTCCTCAGGTACCCACAGATAGTACATGTTTTTGCTCCCTCCCAGTTCTGGACTGTCTGGCAGGGAGCAAAAACATGGGCCGTCTGTGGGTACCTGAGGACCAGGTAGGGAAACACTGGCTTAGTGTGCTCTGAGCAGACGACTATTACTCTTCTTGGAAAACAGGCTAAACAGGCCATTGTCAGACAGACACCAACATTAAAAGACAAAATAACGGTCATCACTAAAAAGCCAGCATCACATTAATCGGGGTTTTTTACTGTTCGATAAAAATGCGCCAATACCCTCTGGTGCTGCTCACCTGCATGGAGATCAGCATGAAGTCCACCAGGCTGCCGATGCCACAGAAGCCCACGGTGCAGAACTTCAGCAAACCTAGAAGAGAAAAGCATTGCAAGCCTGTGCTGTAACATACGGGGATTTTTAAGATGCAGCCATGTGTGCCGTTTGCAAACGTGAGCACTGAAGATGTTAAATAGGGCGAGCACTCATTTACTGGTCCTGTTTGTTAAGAATCTCTGTTCCTAACTAAAACCTGCATCACCCATGCAGATCTGCCTGTTTACAACATCGACGAGTCCTCCAGTTCTCATTGTACTTCTACAGTAACTCCGATGAAAGCAGAGCTCCCTGGCTGCCGGCTCCATCCTCCGGCATCAAGGCCTGCTGAACACGCCGCTGCGGCCGGTCCTGGGCCAGCTCGCCTCCTCGCTTTGTCACCGCCGCAACAGCGTGCAAAAAAAATCCCTCCTCACCCCACGTTCCGGGCACCATCCGGATAGACAAACAAAATTACAATCAATTTACACGGGGGGAAAAAAAAAAAGCTTCAACCCCTGCGAATGTAACGTAATTACAAGGAATTATCATTAATATTCCTGCAAATTGGCCATTCGGCGACGGCTCCGCGACTGACTGAAGTGTCCATTTAGAACGAGCTGCCATGCGTCTGCGCCACAAAGCCGGGCCCTCGCAGCCCGGCGGCCAGCCGCATCTTAATGGCTTAATGGCACAGCGGTGCCACGGCTCGCCCGCTGCCAGGCAGGGCCAGGTGCTGTGCCGCGCGGGGACCGGGGCTGGCTCGCGCCCGCACAGTGTGAACCGCCATTCCTGTCCCTGGGCGCCGGAAACAAAAAGCCCTGGGACAAGGGAGGCCTTTCATCCGCTGGGGCCTTTGTGATCTTGCAGGTGCTTAATTAAAAATAAGACCTCAATCAGAAAGAAAAGGAGGGAAAAAAAAACATACATGCTGCTTCATGCTTGACTTCAGTGTTTTGATGTATTTCCCATTTACCGACTGAGTGCCTCTGGGTGAGATAATGGTGGCATTATTCCGTTCTTCACGGGAGGAACCAGCTCCCTTCACTCTACCGGGAGGGTGCAGGGCACAGCCTCTGCTTATTAATCCCCCACTCTTTCACAAAGTTGCTTTCCCAGCCTGGGCCCCCCGAGCCCATTTTTCAGCCCGATTTTGCGGAGCAGAAGGCGAGCGCTCCGTTGGGCCCCCCCAGTGCCCCCCCTGGAAGACAAGGCAGGTGAGCTCCTGTTCCTGTGGTTTACAGGCCTGGGCTCTTGTTCCCTTAGGCCCCAATGAATGATGCGGAATAATAAGATGCCAAACCAGCCATTTCCTTGCCTCGCTGTGTTACGCCAGGTTGCATGTCCCCCCCATCTCCTCCACACAGGCAACACACACCCAGTTGCCATCAACATCCCTAGTGGACAGTGCAGAATACCCATCCGGAATACTGAATCAAAACGATCATGGATGTGGAGAGGATACGAGGACCTTTAATCCAGCTTTTAACTGTAATAAAAGTATGTCTGAATGTCTGAGAGGACACAATGGTAAACTGTTCTATGTGACTCAAATGTATGAAAAGCTTGTGTGCTATGTGCCGATGCCTTCCACACAAACACTATGGCTTTCTGTGATGATTTTGCAATGTTTTCATGCCATACCTCATTACCAGCGTTCCTCTGCATTTGATGCAGGTATGGTTTGCAGTTTTCATTAAAAAAAAGGGGAGTTTTATGTTAAAAATGCTGTGTGTGTTTGCTTGGAAACACACCTCCTCCCTGCCACACAAGGGAGATGCTGCATCTCTGTGTTTTAAAGGCTGATCCACCATTTAAATTAAAAGTTATTTCTGCACAGAAAGCTACCGACAATACCTTTGGGGAAAAAGAAAAGAAAAAAAAAAAACAGTAATTGGGAGACTGAAGTGGCTTTTACCATGAAACAATGGACTATTACAGGATATTCTGTGCAACACCTGAGACGGTGGGATGTTGCAGTGCAGGCCCACCTAAAGCAGGGTAGCCTAGGTAGAAACGATCGGCCCCCAGCCAGCCCAGGAAGAGAGAGAGGGCCACCGCCACTTTGTACGAATAGCCATTCCTGAAAGGCAAGAGAGAAAAAAAACAAACAAAACTGTGCTTAGTAAACATTTCAACACTGTCAGCTATTTCATTGAAACAAATACTGGAAATAGGACATACACATTTCGACAAGGGATACTTTTGTTGAATCCAACTTCCTCCCCACTGAATTTAAAATGTGTCTTGTTGGGAAGGCGGCAGGTGACATTGGGGGCTGGCAGGCATTCCACTGAAACCACAAGATGGATTTCAATAGGAGACAAATGAAAAAAACATGTTTTATAAAGTGCTATTTTCTATATATGTTCCATTAATAAAGTGACACTGATAGGCCATTATAAATTGTACAATCCTTGCCTCTCACTTACACATGCGCACACACACAGATTAGTACTGATCCCAGACTACTGGTTTTCACTTATGATTAAGAGGAACCCCTAATTCCCTTGCTAAAATTAAAAGAAACCTACTTACCCCAGGCGAAAGAGTGCTTGCAATTTTCAGGCTCTTGGGTGGCATCATCTATTTTAGGGTCTTTACACCGGTATGTGATCAGTGTTAAGGAAACTGAGATCAAACATTTGCAGAAAATAATTTCAGCGTCCCATGCAGAAACACCAACTAACAAGCTTTTATAAATACATATATAGCAGGCAAATCATATATAAAATGACACAACTGTTGCCTAGACTCACCATTCAGAAAACCAGCCAAAGAAAACCCTCTTCAGAAAGAAGGCCAGATCGTTCACCTTAAAAGCCCTCAAATAAACGTTCAGTATTTATTTGACTAAATCGCAAAATGTGTACGTTGCATATAAGTCAAAGAATCTCGACAAAATTAATCAATCTAAATAGATACTTGTAGTAAACTCGCTTCCAGTTATATTATTTTCTACAAACGTCTTGAAGTTCGCCTGGTGTTTTATTAAATTAATGAATATAGCTCATTTTCATTCGAAAATGCCTAAATCACAATCATTCAGAATGATCAATACAACTGCAAATTGACAATTTTCAGCATTTACAGCAGTTAATTGGTTTGGCGTTTTAAATACATACAGTTGATGCTGGTGTAGATAACGTTTACGATGTTTCGTTCAAATTGCAAGATATGGAATTCATTTAAAAGACTTTTTCCAGACATCACGAAATTAAATTGCTAGCGGAATTCATGTTCACCGTTTAGATGTATTTAAGCGTGTATACTATACTATCGGTATTCTTCTTAAACAAGGATATGCATCACACAAATCAGGTTTGATCCAAATCAATAAGTACTCGACTACGGACATACTCACGGATGTCAGATTTGACTACGTATGCCAAGCAGGTTGGTAAAAATTAAAGGACATTTTCACTATACCGCAAGTTAGTATTAAGCCAGTCCGCTTGACAACAGGCCAACAAACCACATCGCTCAGGCCATAATAACGATTTGCAGCTCGATTTCTGAACCTCGGAGCGAAGGATATTGTCCCAGGCGTAGGTTTGTGCAGTCTTCCACTTCGGTCGCTAACATACAATTTAAATTACAATAAATTAAACAGAACAAAAAGAGCTGGAGTTTGGGGTATAAACAAAGCGACATCCTCCAGTAAGCCGCCATATTGGCGCAGTTTCCTAGCCACGTGATCGTTGAGAACCGCGTGACCTTAAAGGGACCGCGCCACGCCGACCGTCAGACCCGACTTCTAGTCAGATTTCCACCTGTAAGAATGCCGCTGCTAACTACAGCTAGCAACGCACCGCAAAACAAAGCGACATAAATGTTATCCGTGACAGCCAGCTCGCGTTAAATGTGACTACGGGTGCCTTGTCACAAACGGAAAGTTTGTCAGCTAACAACAGGTTAGCTCGCGAGCGGTTAAGTCCATTTCAAATGACGTTACCCCAGCTAGCTAGCTTTATTAGTAGGTGGAAACCAGAGCTGACCGAGATGTTGGAAGCGTTTTTGCCTCCGAGTAACTTACAGCGTGCACCTGCTGGTCAAACGAGATTAATGGATACGGCTAGCTCCCCACCATCTGGTAAATAAGTAACTTTAGCGCAGTTAGTTAGCAGGCTACATTGGCTTGACCGTTATCCGTTACCATAGTGACTGTAGTTCAAGGCTCACTCTTGCGCAACGCGACAGCACTTCCTGTTTCAGGTGAGGCGTGGGCTGTTCACTTCCGTCGGACAGGTAAGGATTGGCGAGCTTCGCAAATGTCTGCCTGCATGCTTTCTGTCTACTTCATACCTGAGTGCGTATGTGCGAGCCGCAGTTGACGGGCTTAACGGGGTAGATTGTTAGCCAGTTGTTAGTCGCGGGCGGCGATCTGCGTTGACCAGCAGACAGGCTAACCTGTAGTTTATCAGTTGGATTAGACAACCTGGATATCATTTTCAGATTTGTTTATAGATACCAAATTACCAGTGGTGTTCTGTTTAAAAAGTTATATTAAACATTTGCCACGTTTTAAAAAGGTACTTGTATAATCAGCGTTAGTTTAAAAGTATTTATAATTTTAATAGTAAAACACATTATATTTGCCAGAACTACACGGAAGCTGCATTGATTACGGAGAACTGCTTCGTGTTGTCATACAGAACGACAGTGAAGTAACTGCCTGTAATGTTACTTGATATGATTTTTATTCATCGGGGTCGTTACGATCGTTTGGAAATGCCTGTGTTATATACAGTTACTCCACCGAATATCGTTATGTTTATAGCTATGATTTGTCTTGCAGATTGTGTCACATCTGAGAAAATATCACTGAAATGTATGAAAATGTTCCCACAGGTATGCTGTAAAATTAATATTAATTAATACTATCTATGTTATAGCAATGTATTGGGTTATAATAAATTCACATCTGTAGCAAAGTGACCCCTCTGAACCAGTTACTAATGGATGTAATGTGGAAGCTGATATATATGGTGAAAGGGTCAGCACCCTGCATTTGTCTGGTTTGTGCAGTATCTGCTGTGGAGCGGCAGCGGGTCCTGCAGGCGCTCGAAAGGCTCCAGGCCAAGCTTCTTCAGCGAGAGGAGTGGACCCACAGCGAGCGGCTGGGGGCCCTGAGCGACACGCTGCGGAGCCCTCTGCTGGGTCACATCCTCACCCTTCAGCATTCCATCAAACAGCTGAAAGAGCAGGTAAGCCATTGATTACCTGTGACCATCTGCAGGTTATGGAGGGCAGGTAAGGGGTTTACTATGCGTGACTGTCCCCAGGTTAGGGAGGGCGGGTAAGGGGTTTACTATGCGTGACTGTCTGCAGGTTAGGGAGGGCGGGTAAGGGGTTTACTATGCGTGACTGTCCCCAGGTTAGGGAGGGCGGGTAAGGGGTTTAATATGTGTGACTGTCCCCAGGTTAGGGAGGG